GAGGGGCTGCCACAGAGAGGAGGAAGGGGTCAAGCTATTTTCCAAAGCACCTTTGAAGGCCAGACAATGAATAATGGATGGAAACTGATCATGGAGACATTCAACCTGGAAATAAGGAGAAACAATCAACCAACGGAACAGAAGTTACCTTTGGAAGTTATGGGAGCTTCATCACTGGAAGCTTTCAAGAAGAGATTCCACTGCCCTCTGTCAGATATGGTGTAGGGTCTCCTGCTTCGGCAAAGGGGTTGATCTTGATGACGTACAAGGTCCCTTCCAGCTCTTATTTGCGCAGCGTTGGAAAAGTGAGGAAATACCTACAGAAGAAAATATAATTAAAAAATATATTGGACTGTGCAGAAATGGACAGATTAACACTGAAGATTAAAAAAAAGACAGAATACTTTCAAACTTTTGTATTTTATCAATGGTTGGATAATAGAGGTAGAAATTAGGAAATTAAGATGTGAACGAATCGACCCAGACAAGGTCCCGTCCAACTCTATTAATCTGTTAAACGATGGCTGGTATAAGTAGAAAACAAGTTTTCGAAGCCATGAGATTCAGACCATAGGTGAGGACTTTTAAAGATGAAATCACATTCTTTACAGATACATTTCTCAACACCTAGAAAACTACGGCATTAGTAAGAAGAGCGTATAGTTACCCTTTCTTGCCAGCATGCTAGTTTACTACCTCCATCAATCTCTCCATTAATGACACAAAAAGGAGGGGGGAAATTTAAATTAACATAAAAGGAAAAGCTGGAGCAATCTACACGCATATGCAGTAGGATTCCAGTCTTTCATAGGCCTTAAATCTGCAGCATGGTATAAATCTATAGCAACTGTAGCCCAGCATGGATTGTGTAGTTAGTCTGTGAAATCCAAGTCCTTCTCGCCACTGTGGAAATCTAAGTATAGAAGCGAGTGTCAATAGCTCTTTGTATTAAATAATACTGCATTACTTTTCCCGCTGTTAATGTCTTTCGTATAGGGTATTTACAGGTGAGTCGGTTTTGTAGATTAGTTTTCATGGTGCAGCAGCTTTTGAAATAGCTAAGAGCACAACATGGTGTACCAACAAAGAGGTGGGAAGAAGAAGTAGAAAGAGGGGCGGGGAACGGTTAGCATAATGTTTGATATACTTAGATCTCTGCATTATAGAGGCTCAGTAAGAACCTTATTAATGGTTTTTTTATTATTATTTATCTTCAGCTGTGGAATTCTAAAAGCAATTTTTCTGGGAAATTTCGTTTTCAGAGGGCAGTCTTAGTGAGAACATATATTCTCTGCATTCCAGTTGCTTTGCACACATTGTGGGCACTTACAGCTCATGGTATACTGCTTCCTCTAGAGTGCGCAGCCACCATATGTTTACGGTTGGTCTTTGTTTAACGGCCACTTGTTTAGCAAAAGTTGGAAGTTATGACGATGCTGAAAAGGGGACTAAGGATTGTTTCCCACAATTGGTTCTTGAAGCCACACGATTGCAATTCAAGTGCTTGGCACATTTATGATGGCTGTGTTGTGGCCTGCTGGCGGCTGGTGGACCTGGCAGCAGAGTCAGGCAGTAGTGAGGAGGTTGGGAAGGAACCGGGGCCAGTCCTGGAGGCTGAGGGCAGTCGATCAGAAAGGTTGGCAGTTCAGTGGTTCGAATCCCTAGCGCTGTGTAACAGAGTCAGCTCCCGTTACTTGTCCCAGCTTCTGCCAACGTAGCAATTCGAAAGCACATAACAAAAATGCAAGTAGGAAAATAGGGACCCCTTTGGTGGGAAAGGAACAGTGTTCCTCTGTGAGCCTTTGGCATTTAGTCATGACGACCACATGACCACAGAAACGTCTTTGGACAGCGCTGGCTCTTTGGCTTTGTAACGGAGATGAGCACCGACCCCTAGAGCCGGAAACAACGAGCATGCATGTGCAAGGGGAACCTTTACCTTTAGTAAAATTCAGACACAGAATTTGTCAATGTTCAGTTTCCAGTGAACTGCACCAACTAATATCCTCCATCAGTAGCGAGAGATGCTGGGATCAACAGGAGCACATGTATGTCCACACACATGCATATATACATCCTTGAAAAACAGGAAATGCACACAAAGCCGGATCATTCCTGTTGGATAACTCTTATGAAGGTGCCGTTTAAATGAAGACAGTAATGTCGCTGTGCTTGATCAGAATTTTATCTTGTTGTCAAACCCCTGCTCCTCTTCCTCCTCCTCCTCCTCTTCCTCCTCATCCACATCTCCAAAAAGAGCACCATCTCATTGCCTTTTCTTCCAGAACCAAACCAATTAATTGAACTTCCCGAGATCAGGCTAACCTCCTTTTTTTTTTTGAACTGTTACCATCTGGCAGACGGTACAGGATAATAAAAACAACGAGGCTGAAAAAAACAAATATGGCTGAAAAACAGTTTCTATCCCAGGGCAGTAGCTTTGTTGAATTCTACTGTATAGTGCAATATTAGTGCAAAATTAGTAATTAGGACTGCAGAAAAAAACATTACTACCAACCTGCCTTCCATCGAGGACTTGTATACTGCACAAGTCACAAAGAGGGCTGTGAAAATATCTACAGACCCCTCACACCCCAGATATAAACTGTTTCAACTCCTACGCTCAAAACAACACTATAGAGCACTGCACATCAGAACTACTAGACACAAGGACAGTTTTTTTCTAGAATGCCATCATTCTGCTAAACGAATAATTCCTTCAACAGTGTCCAGCTATTTATTAAGTCTGCACTACTATTACTATTAATCTTCTCATCACTCCTTATCGTCCATCCCCTCTCACTTGTGATTGTATGACTGTAACTTTGTCGCTTGTGTCCTTACGATTTTTATTGACTGTTTCCTAGTATGATTTGATTGCTTATTTGTACTCTATGACTATCAATAAGTGTTGTACCTGATGATTCTTGACTCTTGACGAATGTATCTTTTCTTTTATGTATACTGAGAGCATTTGCACCAAGAATTCCTCATGTGTGCAATCACACTTGTCCAATAAGGAACTCTGTTCTACTCTATTCTATTCTGCTCTACTCTACTCTACTCTACTCTACTCTACTCTACTCTACTCTACT